TATTTTAACTGGAATGTTGTTATCTATATTAAATGCGAAGGTTTCTTGTAATCTAAAATTGATATTTAACTGTGAAATAACTACTTAATTAATATTGGTTTCAACTAGAGCTGTCAAAATAGGCCGAAGCCTATGGACCGGCCCATCAGGCCTGAAAAAAGTTAAGGCTCGGGCGTTATTTTTCAAGCCCATTTATTTTTGGGCCTTTTTTAGCCCAGTTCGAAAATGCCCTGAAAAATATGGGCCAACCCGTATGGGTCATGGGTAGTCCGCCGGTCCGAAAAAAATTATCATTTTTTATATAATTAGAAATTATCCTTTTCTAATTCATAAAAAAATTAAAACTGATTATGTATGAAATTTTAGATATAGTGTTAGTGAATAAAGTTATAAACAATTTGCATAAATAATTTATACCTTATTTTTTGAGCCCATGTAGTATAAATAGTTAATTGATATAAATAGACAATTTCAATGTCCAAAGTGATGAAATTTTAGATATGCTATAAACAGTTTGCGTATTATGTATTTTAATTATTTTTTTGGTATTATAAAGGTATAAATATCAAACAAAAGTTACTAGTTTGACTTAATTTCAAACTAAAATGTTATCCTAATATAATTATATAGATAGTGTAGAAAAGACAACGTGATGTATTCTAATTAAAAATAAGGTTGAAATGAGATTTAAAAAGTTCTAATATTATTTTTATGAGAGGATAGAGTTAGTACAACTCAGATATATAAGAATTTGTTATAAAATTATATATCATCAATCTAATTATAATTTTTATAAAATTATAATTGTTATAAAATTTTATAACAGTTTGTTGTTATAATTGTTATAGAATTATAATTGTCATGAATATTTATAACTTAAAACTTGTTGGAATAAGTTATTTAATTTTGTGTGATACATTAGATAATTTGTAATGTATTTTGGATAGTTTGAATTAACTTAATGTGTTGTTTTACATTTTAATTGTTAACTTATATGATTATTTAGAAATCCTAATTTTGAATATGAAATTTAATATACATACAAGTATTATTGCATACAATTGTATAATTACTTATAAAAATAAGGAGAAATTTTTATTATTTTTAGAAATGGGCCTGTTTAGGGTGGGTAGCCTGCAACTCAGACAAGATTGAGTCTTAGTAGTAAAAATAGGCCTATTTAAATATGAGTTTTTTAGGCTCGACTCTGAAAAGCCCGAGGCTCGTCCGTTTAAGACCGGGTAGCCCATTTTGACAGCTCTAGTTCCAACATATGTGAAGCTTGCTTGTAATTAGTATCGTTTATTTTTTATTGAATTTTAAATATATTAAGAGTTGGTTTTAACAAAATGTGATTATTAAATTTATATTACAAATTTTTTTGTGTGAATTATAATAGAGACAATAATATAAATTAATCACATGGATAAATATATATTTCATGTGAAATGAAAACACATGCGTGTAAATTGAGAGTGATATTCGTAGTTTAGGTTTGCAAACTTACATATCTATAAAGTGATTTTTTATATTTATTTTGTTTTAATTCTCATGTGTTTTTTTTGCACTTATCTTCTATTTACATATTTTACTTTAATTTGATAAGTATATGTATTTATTTTTAGTTTTAAATGAAATAAAAAATTTATTTATCAAATAAAACTTTCAATAACTTTTTAAAATTGTTGCATACTATATTATTTTTTAATATCAACTTAAAGTGACTTATATTTGAAAATTATGTAAGAACTACTTTAAGATTAAAAACATTTATTTCAAGTGCTATTTTTTTTTGTTGCTATAATTTCAGGAAAAACAAGAAATTTTTTATTGTGTTTGGATGTTGACGTCTCTTATATTTTTGAAATTTGAGAGAAATATTCTTAATATAAGAGAATATATATAATTGGAGTAATGATTGGCTTGTTAGACCATTTTATCCAAAATAAGATAAAAATATGTTATTGTATTTGAATTCTCTTATCTCTTTTGTGTAGTATTTTTTTCTTTTTTCTTTTTCATTAGTTTATTATTTGATATTATATAAAAAATATAGTAGTAAAGTATATAGACGCAATAAAAAATTGTTGCATGCTATGTTATATTTTAAATAAGTTTAAAGTGACTTATAATTGAAAATTATGTAAGAACTACTCTAAGATTAAAAATATTTATTTCAAGTGTTACATTTATTATTATAATTTCAGAAAAACAAAAAATATTTTATTGTATTTGAGTTTCCACATCTCTTTTATATTTGAAATATGAGAGAATATTTTTAATTTAAGGAAATATACATAGTTTGATTAATGATTGATTTGTTAGATCAATTTATTGATTTGTTTAATCAATTTGTTCAAAATGATATATTATCCCGTTTTTGCGAGGGTTCTAACTCGTGACCCTCAACTTGTAGAAGTATAAGATGAAAATGACTTTTAGGATGTGTCACATATGACTATAGGATGATGTGATAAATTTAGAGTTATACTTGATGTTTGATGATGTGTTAGAGTTATACTTGATGTTTGATGATGTTTTAGAGTTATAATTGATGATGTGTTGTTATAATATTTGATGCATTGAATTTAATATATTATATAGATATAGATATAGATTGATATTTAACAACGAAATAAAAAGTTAACTAGTAGTGGTTCCAACATTGGGCCACCGCTTTCGGGTGTGACCAGTAAGATGACATAATTCATATTTTCTCTCCAATTTATCAGTCGTGTCTGTTTCGGTTCTAATACGCGTGCTCATTGAACGTTCTTTTTTGCTCCTACGCAATATGGGATTATGACAAGTTTGATCCCTTTCATACACACGCAAATATTACTCGTATGGTAGCACTGTAAAACTTTTATTGTAGACCACAAATAAGTTTGAGACCTTGTAAACGTTGGACAAATGAACAAAAGTGTGTTGGTGTACAATGGAACATGCAACAATAACATGTGAACAATTAACATAGAAAGCTTGAAACGTTCCACAATCACACCAACCATTTACCGCATCGACCTTGTAACATCACCTAGGCTTCCCCTCACTATGATCCCCTTGTTGGCATTTCGTACCTGGGGCAAGCACAGGTAGTTGTTTGTGTCTTGAATCGACAATGAGGATCATCTCCTGTATATTGAAAGTGCTACTTTGATAGTTAAATATTGTTACATGATGCATGTTGGATTTGACAGTTTCCTTTTTCATCATGTTTATGCAATTTTCTGTAAATATTTGGTCAGATTCCAACACTGCACTTCATTGTGCACACATTTTAGCAAATAGTGATCCAATCTATAGTAGGTTTCCCTTATCAATGCTGGGATGAGAAGATTAAGAGTGCCTTTAAATATTGAGTCCATTAACTCGAATAGGTTCGTTGTGATGTGACTCCAACGTCGACTCTCGTTAAATGCCCTCACCCACTTGTGTACTAGAATATTGTCCACCCATTTTAAAGCATCAGCATTAGCTAAAGCAACTTCTTTTTAGTAGTACTCGAATTTTGGTCGGTTTAAAGCATACCATATATGGTATAAATAATTAATGTATGTCTACAAAAATAATCCTACAATATTAAGAACTTTTATTAACAAATGGAGATACTTAACCTTGTTAACAATTTTTTTACGAAGGTTTTTGTATTTGATATCGCATGAAAATTTAAGTAATGTGTCTGATGCAGTAAACATGCACAAATGGTAGATTTTGCCAACCATTATCTAGATTGTTGTACACTCTTAATTGACGCATGTCTGTCTGAAATCAAACATAATTCAGGTTGAAAAGAAACATACCTTATCAAGTTCTATAGAAAGAAACCCCGACCACCAGACGTCTCATCTTCGACTAAGGCAAAAGCTATTAGAAAAATATTATTGTTACCATCTTGTGCTACTGTCATAAGTAGATTCCCCTTATACCTATCATACAACAAGTTTCCATCAATTTAAAGCACATGCTTGTCCAAAATAGCCGGTGAAAGATTTATTGTCCATTAAAAATAATATTATCATCTATATATATGGGTAGTGTATCTATTTCTACCATTGTACCATAAAGGTATTTCTTAAGTGAAAACAAGTAATATGGAAGTTCATTATATGAGTTAATTGTACACTGTGCTTATGTCGCGCAAATGATTTTTAAATTCTGATTTTTTTTTTTAAATAAACAATTTTTTTAATTGGTAGTTTTTAAGGATGTTTATTCAACCCTCCCTTCTAAAACGTTGCATTCTCATATTCTCGGCCAACAGAAGATAGCACCTTGTATGGCAGGTGGGCTAGGAATTCATACGATGCCTTTTTAGAATGTAGCATTTCTTGGTAAGCTTATTTGGAGCTTATTGCAATCAGAAAATAAACAATAACTGTTGACTCATAAACATTTGAAAGGAGAATTGTTTTTTAACAAAGCGATTAACAGGTTATCAACTTGGCAAACTATTTTGAAATTGTTACCTTTAAATTAGGAGATAAGGACACAAATATTTGGTTCCGGTCTTGAATTTTAAAACAACCTTTATGTAAAGTCGACTAAGATATTGCTCCATATGAAGTTTATTTGAAGATTAGAGATGTGTGGGATGGAGAAATTTGTAATGTTGCCTCTTGATGTTATGATATTCATCCAAACAATAGTTTCATTTTCTATTCCTTAGAAGATATACTTAGATTTGGAGTGATAGTCTATATGATCAATATATCGTGAAAAGTTGCATTAATTAGAATCGCTTGTAAAACTAAAATAAATTGCTAGTTGTGAAAAATAATCCTTGCCTAGTTTTATTAACATATATATACACTACACACACACAATTGTGAAGGATGATACATTGCTTTACATATTATACAGAAAATATAATTTATACAAAGCAGAATACTTTACTTTAGTATCTATGGGGCTGATATGATAGAGAAACGCCACCAAATTTACAACTCTTGGACTAATGTTTAATATTTGAGATTAGATAGGAACACTTATCACCTTAATTACCAGTAGAACTGCAATCGCAAACACAAAAACTTGTATAAGAGAATATATTATATAGATAACTTGCATGGCAAGTAATTGATCAGTGTCAAAGTTAAAGGGACTTACAAACTTCTTTTTCTTTATGTCAAGTTCTGATTGAAGCTCCGCTTGCTTAGCAAGGGCCTCTTCAAGTGCCTAAAGCCAAATAAAGGAGCAATAAAATTAGAAATATGTTTTAAAAGCAATGATGCTATTGCGAAGTATCGAGAAAAACTGTACCTTCTGAGTCGTGGCCAACTCTTGCTCGAGTGTTTCGACGCGCTTTAGAGCAGTGTTGAGCAATTTTTCCATTTCGGGTGGCATGGAAGGCCTCGTGATGAGAGTATTCACCTCCTCTTCTAGAATGGCCATGCGCTTCATCAGAGCCATTCGATCATCAATGGATACGACAGGTGTTGCTTTCATCGTATTGCCATCATATAATACTGAGTTACCATATAGTGCAATTGCAGTCATTTTCTTTGGCATGTTCCGTGTCATGCGGATTAACGTTATGAGTCCCAAAACAATTCCCATGACTCCACCAGCAAAGTGATTTCTAAATCTAGTTGAAGTCTTGGAAATGTTATCAGCATAGCAATCTGCACCTGAAACTGAAATAATCTATTTAAATGTGTTGGTAAAATGGAGTATGCAGATTAGGCTTGACATAACAAATTTGTCAGTAAGAATAATCATCAAATACTAATACATGCCTTTAGAAAGCGCCTTTTGATCATTTTGTATTGCCTCATTCCAAGACATTGGTTTGTCATTCAGTGAGACCAAGGTGTCAAACTTATATACATTATTACATTGTTTTGCTACCTGCAATATAGAAATTCTGCAGTTAAAACTAAGTAGAATGAATATGAAATCATCATTTGTTTTACATTTCATCAAGTAATGAAACTTACTTCTGCTATAGCATGACATGCCTCCTCAAGAGCATGTTCTTTTTCGAAAGAATTACATTCCTTTATATCCTAAGAAAAAGAAAGGATGTCAAGTTTTGTAACCAAACTATGGACTTGAAACTAAAAGAATGTAAGAAGCTAACTACCTTTTGACACAATGTTTCATTTGTGATGATTGTTTTCTCCGCCTCAATCCCGGACAAAGTATTTGTTATGCAATTTGTTTTGCCGTTTTGAACCATCTAATTCATCCGTAAAAAATACTTTACTATTTTCTTTTTTGATTATATAACTAATTTTTTTGTTTTGTCTTTCAACATTGAAACTACCTTCAAAATTTCTGGATCATTCCATGGTCCCTTGTCAGAAAGCATGCAACCACCTTTGTCTGCACAAGTACATGTGCCCCCCAAGAACTCGGGAAGTTCACTGGTAAATAGTAAACACAAGCAAGGTGTCAAGGTAATTAGAAAGAGATAAACAAAAATACTTCAATGAGAAAGAAGAAAACACACACCTCGCATCGATGATTTCGAGCAACTTGCTTTGGTATTTGTTACCTAGTACCTGATCAACAATTCAGTAAACTGTTTAATAGTCCTACTTAACTGAATTCAACATTATATGAAACTGTTGACTATAACAATAGAAGCTTACATGGATTTTGGAGGTGGTATTCGGATCAAGGAAGGACTTAATAGTGTTCCACAACATCCTAAATCCAGAACCAGCATTGATGACGAACATACGATTCAAGGACTGTATGAAGAGAAAAGTTTGATTAAAGTAATTTCAGAATATCACATTTGAACCGATACGATTGAGTAGGTAAAAACTGTACCTCCGGATAGTTACCACCATCAATCTTCTGAAGTCCTTGGAGGAGATCTCTTGCAGCTTTATTCATGCTTCTGAGACCCTGAAGAATCATGATACAGTCAAAACTTATGCGAAACTTGTTTACTTGCATAACAAGTTATACAATATAATAGAAAATCGATAGAATAATTTCCAAACATGCATACCAATCCTTGAACATCCAAGATAGTTGTGCTTTGATCAATGTGTTTTTTTGCCGCAATCGAACAAGCCGGCATCTTAAGATTGAGTGTCTTCTCAAACTCTCTTACATGGTACTTAAGATATCTCTCCATAGTTGTTACCTGCATTAGCTTGTTAGAATCAACCAAACCCAATCTTTCTATGTAAACAGGTCTTCCATCTTTATCAACTCCATGTGTTCCTTGAGGATAGTATTTTAGAACTTCATCTATCTCCTTAAACTCAAAATCCTTAACAAAAACCAAAAGAAAAATCTGTTAATTACACATACAACAATGCAATTATGAATAATGTTTTCATTTGTTTATCCAATGATATATATATATATATACCTCCATGATGGTGTCAGCCCCAAATTCCTTCCTCCATTGGAGCATATCTGCCCACATTTGCTTTGTTTTCTCAATGTCATGCTTCCTCGCTCTCAAGAATCTGAATTAATATCATATAACAAACCAATAAAACCACATTAAGAATTGCAGAAGAAACTATATGATTATCCAAATGCTACCTTAACATCATATGATGATGATCATGTCTTGAGGGTAACAAATCTTCTTGGATTAGTATTTGGCGAAGACCCTCAATTGCCTGCAACTCTTCTATATCGAGTTCATCCTCAGTAACAGACATAACCCTACTATGCCTTCGCCCCTTCTTCAAGGAGTGTTTCAACTTAGAAGATGCATTCATTGCTACCTTCTTTAAAGATCCAAGCCGTGTCAACTTCTCATCCTCCAAATTCTCATTCTCAAAACCTGTTTTTTACACATTTCACATTCTAAATTCTAATACAAACATGATCATGAAACATGAAATGAAATATAGCAATAATAACCTTTTACAGGTTGATCAAAACTAACAGGTCCAGAAATAGTGTCACACATGATTGTTTATCGAATCTCTTTAATTCTTACAGAAATTATCACAAACAACGCTAAGGAAGAAGAGAATCAACAATTCGCATATACAACAAATGCCAGAAATTAAACCTTCACGCGTACCTACACCTATTATCAACCAAAAACAACACATATAATTAATTAGAACTTGAAAAATAAATCACCATGTAATTAATCAAATCAACATTCTTCATAATTCATATTCAACGTGCATGAAAGAAGAAAAAAAATACTTAGAATCAAGTGTAGGTGAATGAGGTGAAATATTGGAATCTATGGAGGTTTAAAAGGTTCATGAATCAACATTACATAAATAAATTATTAACATAATAAGTAAGTGGAATTAGAAGGAAGAAGAAAATGAAGAAAGATTGATAAATGAAAAAAAAAAAATTAGATATTTACCTTGAGATTAAAAATGTGGGAATTAGAATTAGAAGAATATGTAACACAAATTAATTATCCTAATATATATCAATTAAATTGAGGCTGTGATATTAGGGCTAAAATTGGAAGACAGGTTGGTGAAACTCATATTTAGAGTTTTCCATTTTTTGTTTGTTTTTTTTTTCTTTTTCAATTTCATTTTTGCTACTAACAAAATGCTTCTGGGTCTATTTTTTCTTGTTTAATGTCATGTATTTTAGGTTGTCTTTAACATGATATAGTTTCTTTTGATATATTTTATTTATAGTATTTTAAATATTTAACTAAGTTTTGGTTTAACTTATTCTAGTTAATTTATGTAAATTAAGCCTATTTAATACGATGGTTGAGTAAGTTATTTAATTTGTTATGATTGATACTCACGTGGTGACTACTTGTATCTTATTTGTTTATTTTTTAGTTTCAATATAGAAACTTCCATTCTCCCACATCATTCTTAAGTTTTTGTTAATTAACATATCTTCCTTGCGACGAAGGTGGCTTTATTTTATCACAATTTACATTTGAAGAAGATAGCCAAAATACGAGTCTTGATATTTGGTAACATCGTACAAGAGTTTAGACACTTATAATTGTTTATTGTGGAATGATCAACATTATATCTCAAAAACTTGAATATAATTGTGTAAGGAATAAATATTCTACACTATAATTTTCATAACATTTCTTAATGCAAATGTAGTGTTAGCTTATTCTCAGCACAATTAAAGAGTGTTAGCTTATTCTAAGCACTATTAAAGCATTTTAGAAAATTTTAGAAGGAATAGTCTTCCGTAGTGGAATCAGGAATAAGAAACAAGATAAGAATGATTTCGTCTAGTGAAGTGGCGAGTGCTTCCACTACTGTAGAGAGGATTGGACTTGCAAACTTAACACTCAAGTCAATTAAGTATTTGAAATGTGACTTGAGAGTAAGAATGAGTTAATACATACATGTATTCAATGTGTGGAACGATTTATATATTATGTGGTTACAACTGTCTCTATTTAATTTTGTGTTTGATGCGGATGTCGGGGTGAAAAAAATTGAGATTAAGCTATTGATTAACTTAACTCACAAACATAATAAACAAGAGTCGTTATCGAACTTTATTGTTTCCAAAGGAATGGGAAAATGTCGATAAAACTCCAAAAAAAGAAAAATCTAAGTACAGAGGTTGATTATGCAAGGGGGAGATATTAGTACTCCTCACATCTTCGGTATTCCGTATGAACCTTTTGAAAATCTGTGTTAGGCTAAAACGGTTGTTTGTAAAAAGATTGGGGAGATGAGAAAAGAGATATATTTTTAATATTTTTGATTCCTCAAGACTTTGAGAGCTTTGTGCATACGTACCTTTTTTGTGCAATGAAGAAGTCAGAATCACGTAGTTCTTGTAAAAAGAACAAGGATTAATAGTCATTTACCCCCTACAATATAGGCAAGTTTTGATTTAACCCCCTTTAAAAAAAATTGATATATCCCTTGAAATGTTAAAATTCTAAGTTTTTGCCCCTAGGTGCAAATATTATCCCCCTGTAAAAAAAATTTATTTACCCCATCATTTTTACACGTTTAGGAGGTATCCAAAAAATTATAATGGGTAATTAATTTTTTTTTAAAGGGGGTAAATCAAAACTAACATATATTGCAGTGGGTAAATGACTATTAATCCAAAGAGCAAAATGGTGTTTGCTTGATTGACTTTAATGAAAAGATATTTCGTCATTTTCAAGTGGAAAACTCAACTTATCACCCACAAGTATGAGAAAATGGATATTTGCATCATCTTGATGGAGAACTTTAGCTTGGATACTGCGATACGGTGGCAGAACCAACTGTTAATACTGGTTTTGCGTTTGTGTTTGCAAATGTTGCAGTAAGAAAGAGTCGTCGCCGATTTTTCTTTTATCCAAATTAAGGAAAGGGTGAAAAGAATAGAAAAAGACCTTTTCGAGAGTTTTCCGAGTAAGGGAGAGTGAATTATGGAAAGGGAAGGTGTTAACACCCTTTCCATCCGTAGTTTCCTACGGGCCCTTAGATGCTTAGCTCATTTGAAATACCTTGTGCTTTTGTGTGTTTTAAAACTTTGTTTTGAAAATACCTTAGTGCGGCGATTCACTTTATGATAACTCTTGTATCAGTCCTCAAGAGTGTCGACAAAGCGAATATTTTTGAAAGTGTTTTTGAAATGTGTAAGTGTAAAAAGTTTGTTTTATTTGAGCAAGCATCTAACAGTTATCTACTTGTACTCGAAAAAGTTCGTTATTTTCCTCTTATCCTTTAGACAGTGCTATCCTACTATTAGTGAGTAGGTAGCCCTATCATTGAATCTTTGAGGGACAATCGAAGGGACGATACGGTCACGAAGGTAACTTGGCAAGAAATTTTAGTAATTATCCTAAAGTTCTAAGATCACTTTTAACCGAGGCGACGTCGAGAGGGTCATCGAGGGACTTGTGATCTTTTCAAACTAGAGGACAGCCACTAAAACTTCTCACGTTTCGAGAATTGTGACCGTTTTCCGAAGGCAACTGAAGTGGGATACCCTAGAGGTGCGTATGTGTAGTGGTGTGTTATATTCCGTTATTTTTATCTTTTGTGTTAGGTTTGCTAACGTTTTGTTATTAGTCTTGTCATGCAATCCTAATTACTAGCAGTTAATATATATATACAGGAATTTAAAGTGCAGAAATGTAAAATGCGGGAATGTAAATCCTACGCTATTACATGGCTTTATGAGAGGTACATTATAGAAATGCGAAAAGTAAAGTCCTAGTTACTATTACAAACAGGGAAGCAGTTACAATAAGATGAAACAAAATGCGAAAGTAAAGAAATGCGCAAACGAATTAAAAGGGACGTATAAATCCTAAAGAAAAGAAATCTTTTTGGTTGTTTTTATTTATGAAAGAAAATAAAGTCTAAGTCTATTTAATTTTAATTTTAAAAAAAAGGTTAAAATAATTAATTAATTTATTTACAAAAATTAACTTAATTAGAAAAAATACTAGCCTAATGTCTTTTTTGTGATTTTTGATTTAAGGTTAATTTAAATAAAAAAATGTCAATAAAAAAATGAAAGAAAATAAAAAAATACAAAGGGGGGTATCCTTCGATTGCAGGGAGAGATGGGGGGCTTCGATCCATAGGAGGGTGGCTATATTTCGATCCAGTGAAAGCAGTTGTCATTCGATCCAGAGGAAGGTGGATTTCGATCCAGATGAAGGTGGCTTCCGATCCAGAGGAAGAAAGGTGGCCTTCGATCCAATGAAGGATGGTTGTTTTTCGACCCAGGAGTGTTGTTGAGAGGGCCTGATGGATCACCAGTGAGGGTACTGAATCTGCAAAGATATGTTAGCAAAACGAAGATGCTGGACCTGGGTATTAAACTCAGGTCCTTCAATCCTGCGCGCTTTGGTCTACTCAGGCTGGATCTGCAACAAATGTTAGAAACAAAACAAATGCAGACCTGGATGTCAAACCCAGGTCCTTAATCTTGAATACAAATCGAATGAACTACAAGTGCTAATATGTCATGCAAATGTAAAGTTTGATCTTTTTACCAATTCTTACCAATGGTGATGGATGAATTTGTGGCTTCAGGCGTGGGTACCCTTGTTTAAGGGTTGCTTCGATTTGTCACTTCTGGACGTGTGCTTGCTTAGGGGCTGGTGATGATTGAAAAAGCTTCAGGAGACCTCAAAGAATGTGTTTGCAATTTCGTGTGACTCTCTCAGGCTGTCTCCAGGCGTATATGTAGGTGGTCTCCTTATTTTTTTCGTCCCCCTTTGGAGCTTGCTAGTGTGCTTCTTATATAGAGGGGGTGGAGGGGACAAGAGGACAAAAGAATAAACATCCATTAAGTCGGTGTTTTAAAGGCCATGAATATCATTTTGAAACTTTGCCAGAGGTGTGGAATTCTTGTCTCTTTTTGAATTTGAATGAATATGGATACAAATGACTTTCGAATGCTCTCCTTCAAATAACTCTGACTGCCTCCTTCAAATGGCTCTGATTGCCTCCTTCAAATGGCTCTGATTGCGTCCTTCAAATGGATTTGATTGCCTCCTTCGAATGGCTCTGGTTGCCTCCTTTGGATGGATCTGATTGCCTCCTTTGAATGGCTCTGATTCAGCTCCTTCGATGGAGTCCATCCACATCAATTCGAATTGCTCAGATCTTTGATGACTCTGAGTTTAGAGTTTCCCTTATCAGAGTTTCTTTAATTAAGTCAACTTCTGCATTGATTCGAATTGCTCATATCTATGATGACTCTGACTTTAGAGTTTTCACTTATCAGAGTTTCTTAGATAAAGTCAACTGCTGCATTGATTCAAATTGCCCAAAATTCTCTTCGTCAGAATATTTGTCCTTTTTGATGACTCTGGATTCGAATCTGTTCAGAGTTTCCTTCATCATGGCTTCTTCAATTGAGTCTACTTTCCTTAGCTTCTTGATTCAAACAACTCAAACGTAAACTTCAATCTGGCCAATCGAAAACCTCTTTTGTCACAAATTTTGAATGCCATTGCACAAGAGGCATGGGCCTGGTCAC